CACTTGTGGGTCATCACACTTCAACATGCTTGCTACCTGTACGGGGGAATGACACGAGGCTCTTCACCGGCCGACTTCTCCACCACACTTGTAAGGTGTTCGACGCTTTGCCCACAAGGTACCATGGATAGTGGGGATGATTTCTTTTTCAATAACTTCATGTGTTCATTCGAAGATTCATCATTGGTCGATGAGGATTTTGTGGTTGCGACTATGGTCGTCAGTGACCGCATTGCTAGGCAGCGACCGAGGTTTAGGGGCTCGATCCCGAGCCATGTTGCGGTGTTGAATCGCAACAGAGAGAGCGGCCATTACATATTCTTCGCCGATTACTTTCAGTGCACGTCCCCACTCTTCAATCCCAAACTTTTTCGGCGCCGCTTTCGGATGGTGAGACATGTGTTTAACCGTATTTATATTAATGTATTTGTAACAATTTAAATTTCATTGGTTTGCAAATTATGATATTTTTATTTGGTTATAACTATTGATCATTGTGATGAAACTATGTGATTTAAACTTTCGGCAATGTTTAAATTTGTATGCAAAAATTATGTAAAAGTATGGCTGCATACCGGCCACGTGAACGAAATGCATCAGCCGGTTGGATGCACTGGCTAAAACATGGACGGGGCCGGACAAAAAGCAGATCAAATCCGCGTTCGTTTGTGTCGGCACGTTCGAGTTGCCCTTACTTTAGTGTGCTTTTTGCTCCCTCTTAAGGTACTAAACCTTCTATAATTAATAAACCTGCCTAAATAATAAATATAATTAATCATTTCATCAAATATTTTTGAAATCAATCTTTTTCGTCTTTTAAATATGTCTCTTCTTAAATTGTTACACATTTCTATAATAGAATCCTCCAATAAAATCCCCCATTGCTCCAATAAAAATGGAACCGTTAAGTCTACATCTAAAACTGAAAACAAACTACTCCCTCCGTTCCTAAATACTCCCTCCGTCCTAAAATTCTTGTCTTAGATTTATCTAAATACGGATGTATCAAGTCACGTTTTAATATTAGATACATCCGTATCTAGGCAAATCTAAGACAAAAATTTTGGAACGGAGGGAGTATAAGTCTTTTTAGTGGTTTCAAATGAACTACAACATACGGATGTATATAGACATATTTTAGAGTGTAGATTCACTCATTTTGCTCCGTATGTAGTCCTTGTTGAAATCTCTAAACAGACTTATATTTAGGAACGGAGGGAGTATACAATATTAACAAGTACTGTATTTTTTTCAACTAAATTTGAAATATGAAATGATTTTTTAACATATTGTTGTATCCCTGTTACATTATCTCCTTTTGAGCACCGAAATGGCTTCACACACGACACGGACTGCACGAACTGCGAACGATACACACTGTGCATGCATCAACTAACAGAAAAACCAACTCCCTCCTGCATGTACGTGCGCTGCTGTGCTGCCACATGGGATCGTGCACAGGTCGGCTGCAATTTCATCGTGTATATAGCATAGAGCACTTTGGTAAGCAGATAGATAAGGTACGTTCTATATCTGATAACTTGCACAGCCTAGCGCGCTCCTTGCCCCCAAGCAGCAATGCCGGCGGTGGCGTCACTACCGCCACCGGCGCCGGGGCCGGCCGCATTGCGTCGCCGGAGCTTCTCCCCCGCGTCGGCGTCTCTGCGTCGCGCCGCATCCGGAGGGGGCTCGAGCTGGCGGAGCGAGCGGCGGCTCATGTCGGAGCTGGAGCGCACGGTGACGGCGGGCGCGGCGGAGCGCGTCATCCGCGGCTACGTCGGCACCAAGTCGGAGCGCGCCGCCCTCGCGGCGCTCTCCCGCCTCCTCATGGACTCCGACCCCCTCGCCGTCCCCGTGAGCCACCGCGCATCCCTGCTTCTCTCCAACTCCCCTCTCTCTCTCTCGCTGACCTCGCCGGCGAAATTCTGCATGTTTGCTGCAGTTCTACGAGGCGGTGACCCAGGCCCGGTGGTTCAAGTGGAGCTCGATCCACGCCGCAGCCGTCGCCGCCTTGCTCGAGGCCAACGGCACCGCGGAGGAATCCAGATCCCTCATCGCCGACTCCGCCGCACGCCTCGAGTCCGGCGCCGATCTGGCCCTCTTCTTCTGCGACCTCATGGCGGCCTTCTCCTCGCGGGGACTGAAGCGACGGGCCATGGATTTCTACGCGCAGCTCCGGGCGATGCCGACGCCGCTCGCCGGGGGCGGCAAGACCTACATGGCCATGATTAAATCCCTGTGCATGTTGGGCCTCGCCGCCGAGGCCGAGGAGGCGCTCAAGGAGATGGTGTCTCTGGGATACCAGCCGGATGCGTTTCAGTTCGGATTGGTGGCGAAATGCTATGGGAAGGCAGGCCAATTGGCTGAGATGGAGAGGGTGATTGCATCCATGTCGGACGCTGGCATCCGGCTGGGCACCGGCGCGGCGAACATTGTCCTCTCGTGCTACAGCGCTTGCCGTGAGCACGAAAAGATGCTAGCGTGGCTCAAGAAGATGTGGAAGTTGCGCGTTGCGCCGACAACCAAAGCCTACAATTTCGTGCTCAACTCATGCCCGACGTTGGTGTCGATGGCTCGCCAATTGGACCCTTCGCTCCCGCTGTCGGCGGCGCAGTTGGTGAGGAAGCTCAAGTCTGCATCTCCATGGCCGGCCGAAGCTGAGGTGGTGCAGGAGCTTCTGGCCGCCTCATCAGTGTTGAACAAGGCGATGGTTTGGTCAGAAACTGAGGTGAAGCTGAACCTGCATGGGTTCAGTATAACTTCAGCCTATGTCCTGATGCTGCAGTGGGTGGACGCAGTGAAAGGGGGCCACACATTGCCATTGGAAGTGTCTGTCGTTTGTGGTGTCGGGAAGCACAGCGATGTCCGGGGTGAGCCCAAAGTGCGGGAGCTGGCACAAGAGGTTCTGAGCCGGATGGGGAGCCCTCTGCGGCTGTCCGCAAGGAACAAAGGCCGGCTCGTGGCGAAGCGAGACAGGGTGAAACAATGGCTGGCCACTGAGTGGACTTCTGTGGTGCCTGAGGAGAGCACAGATCAGTTGTCTAATGCAAGCGACCAGCAAACATTTTTACCTATCCTTTTGAGAAAACTTGGACAGTTTTTTTCCTCATTTGTGGCGGTTTCCAGGTGAATAGCAAGCTGTTCATTGTAGATTAGGAAGTTCAGAATAGGCATAGCATCACTGTATGTTATGGCATGATACAATATGGATGTTGTGCGCTGCTGTAAAAATATACCAAGAAAAATCATCTATTTTTTGATGGTAACTAGGGGCTTAGTGCACGGATGTACGTTAGCCCCTGGATGCATATTAGACTTGCACAAGTCTGCAGCCAGCTGCTTGAAGGTAATTGGACTGATTTGCTGAATTATTTTTCAATTGGTTGTGGTTGGCAGGTTGCTGCTGTTTATACCTGGCTTTGATGTGTTTCATTTTATGGTGAAATTGCAGATACCTATTGAAAATATCAAGTTAAATTGTTGCGGGTAACATCAGTTGTGTTTTTCAAGTTTTACACAAGAATATTTATTGGATCTCTAGTACCTGTGTCCTAGTTCTGACGTAGCTGCATCTTTCTCCTTCAAATTATCAAAGCTCTGTTTTCATTTGGTGTTGTTTTATTCAAAAGTTTATCTTGGTGATACTACCATTTGGTGACTTTTAAACTTTTAATAGATCTTTGTCAGTGCATAACCGCTCACTATCCTCTTGGAGTAAAACCAGAGCATGTTCCTTTGAATTTTCTGGTTTGAGACTTTGAGTAGCCATAAATATTTTTTTAATATATTACAGGCTACACTAAATGTTGGATATATTGTTACATCCACTATCAAGTGCTTTTTTTACTTCTGGATATTTATTGATGTAGGTCATGTCAGATGATTTTTCTTCATGTTCAACAGCATTGAGATTCAGCATGGGATATGTCCTGGGATGAAACCATCAGCATCTTACAAAATTGGTCATGCAACAGTTAGTAGTTGTTGTTTTTTTCTTCTGTTATTTATCTATTTTGTATTTTCTTCTGTTGGGACTTGAAATTGTCAATCTCTGCATTCTTCTGATATGTTTTTATTAGAAATAAATGTCTTTTCTGAGCTCAATTTAATAATATTGTTGTGCTAAAAGGGTCATAAAGCTATGCAATTTTTTGGAGTTAAAGTTATTTTTATGTTCTATTATATTTTGGGGAGAAGTTGTTTTTATGTTCAGGTTTTGTATGAAATGATTTTCAGGTTGTAAATGCTAAACTTATTCAACAAGATTACAATAATAACCCTACATCTTATTCATCCAAATATGTAAAGGTCATGGACGGTTACCCTTCTTGAGAAAAAAAAAACTTTTGAAGTTATGGATGTTTATGAAAGCAGATTCTTCTAGAGCCCTGGATTCGCTCCAACCTTTCAGGTAAGATGAAAAATTTCATGCAAGACATTTCTTGAAGAATTTGTTGTTCACAATGCATATATGGCATCTTTAGTCGGTTGCAAATATAATGTTCTTGCATGGCATGAAAACAATGTGTAAATGTGTAAACAGTACGAACATTAAGGTTAAGTTGATTCAGATCAGCAAGTAGATTTTAAATTCCTTAGGGATAATGGGTCCTCCAACTACTATTAGTTATGATCTCTTTAAGCATTCTTTGGTTAAGCACATATGGAATTCTCATGTTTGAAATGGTATTTTAAGGGAGTCAAATGGGGCTTCACTGGGACTCACTCTGTGAAGCCAACGATCACACAACTTAGGTATGTAGAAAAACTACTGCCATTACAACAAGGTGAGAGGCATCTTTGTCCTAGAGACATACAAATTGAGTACAATGAGCTTACAAAGCGGACGATAAGCATTCACTGAATATGAAAAATTATAAAAAGGTACGAAACAAAGTTGAAATCAGAGAAAAAGGTTTGGAAACACCTTTTTCACTAAGGTAGTACATTGCACATAAATCTCTGATAGCTAACCATGTTCAACTCATGTGTAAGCAGAACTACCGTGGATATCTTGCAGACAACACATACTCTTCTTCCATACTATACTGCCTGCTAGTCAATCCAGCTCCACGTGCTAATTGAGAATTTTCTGCAATATCCTCATCCACCTCGAATTCCTCAGGTGATTGAGCAACTTCCAATCGCAATTCTACCTGTCTCATGGTTGGCCTTTCCTCCCCTCTTAATTTTACACATGCTACCGCAATTGCAGCGATTTCATCAATTCTATTGCCACCCTCGCTCAGAACTTGTGGATCTAATATCTCCACCAAATGGCCTCTGGCAAATAAGATAGCAAAATGTGCCACAAGACCATTTCCTTCGGGAGCCATATATGTAAATGGCTTCTTTCTAGTCATCAACTCTATAAGCATAACACCAAAGCTATAAACATCACTTTTCTCCGTGAGGCGCCATGTGTGCATGTACATTGGATCCAGATATCCTAGTGTACCTTGCACATTTGTTGTTAGCCCTGATTTGTCCAATGGAATGTACCTTGAAGCTCCAAAGTCTGCTACCTTTGCTGTCAGAGTATCATCCAAAAGTATGTTAGCAGGTTTGACATCTCTATGGATGATAGGTACTAAAGCTGTTGAGTGAAGATGGGCAAGTGATTTTGCAGTTTCTGTTGCTATTCGTAGCCTATCAGCCCATGACAATGATGTTGGTCCTTCGACATGAAGATGGTCATAAAGAGTTCCATTGGATATGAACTCGTAGACTAACAGTGGCACTTCTGTTTCAAGGCAACAACCATATAGTTTTACTACATTCCTATGGTTGATTTGTGATAGGATAGCAACCTCATTAATAAACTCATCAATCTCCCTTTGAACAATCATCTTTGGTTTCTTGATGGCTACAACATGGAGATCCAACAAAATCCCTTTATAGACAGTACCATGCCCACCACCACCAAGTTCACGAGCTTTATCAAAATTGTTTGTTGCCTTCTCTAGCTCTTCCAAAGTTATGATCATTTTCTCTGCAATATCAGCTCTTTGTGATACCAATTGTTGCAACAATTGCCCGCGGTTTTTTTCAAAATATTTCCGTTTCAACATTTGTGCCCTTTGATGCTTAAATTTGTAGGAGATAAAGTATGCAATGAGGACCACAAGGATGAGGCCTGCCCCACTAGCAACTCCCATAGTGATGCTTAAACCTGAAAAAAAAACTCTTTATCATTCATATTCTCTGGTATGTGTATTTAATACCATGCATAATTTTGTCTCAAAAGTTTATGAGTTTATTAGGTATTATAAATATACCGAAACATAAATTAATGGTCAAGGTTGGTTGTGTTTTGAAAGCCATGTTGATATCCAATATGAAACATTTAGGAACGGGAGGGAGTAATAGGTATAGCGAAACAATGTTCAGATCATGGACATAAGAATGACAACTGTTTCCGGAATTTGGTCACAAATTAATTACTTGATGTTTTTTCTTGATGTTTTTACATATTTTCATTTCACTCATTGATTGTAGTCTAGTTGTAATACTCCCTTGGTTCATAAGCTGATGATTGTTTGATATTGAGATGGTCTCCAATAAGTATCTTTGATCGATACTTTTAAATTATATGTTAGTACAAATTTATGATTTTATCTTTATGATATGTAATAAGAACATGTTCACCTTGGATCGGAGGTAGTAACAGATACTTGTAAGAAAAGATATTCTGCAGAGACAGAGGAAATTTTAAAAGGAAAGGCAGAAGCCATGTAGAGCCAGCCAACACCATCGTCAAAGAGAACAATTTGTCATATATTAATAAAAAAATCTTGGAAATTTTAAAACACATATTTCAGAACCGATCTGCATTCTACAAGAAACTTCTATATGAAGAACAGCAATATTACCTCGCACAACAAAAGAGCGAGAATATTCACAGCATATGAAAGTATATTGGAAGGAGCTATCGATCGAAGTTGAGTAGTAGTGGTGATAAGGGAATACCAGACTGTCGCGTTAATGTAAGTAGGAAAATTGGGTTTGCAGCATTTGGTGCTCACCTTTTAAGTATTCGGCGCGTTCATCTGGAGACCAGAAGAGAAAAGTTGAAATTCAGTAGTGGTGGTAGTACATAATACTAAAACTGCACTAAATCAAAGACACTCATTTTGAAATGGAGAGAGTACATAATATACTGCAGCGATGGACGGAATGACGGATCGTACCTTTGCATCCGCCGACGAGGTATGGATTGCCGTGGTAACCGCCGTCCTCGTTGCACTGGCACGTATAGCCTCTGTTCCCACGTTTGCACTGGCTGTGCTTGCTCTTGCAGATCTGGTCGCGTGGCGTGACCTGATAATCCCCGCCGTTGCAGTCCGGGTGTGAGCTCACGTTGGCTGATGACGAGCCACTATGCGGCAGGAACACCTCCCAACGGAGAAGAATGGGAACCTTCATAGCATCCGCACGATAACCCCCCCGCATTAGTTTGCCGGTGACACCCCACGGATCAAACCATCCCTCCTCTGCGATGAACACGAAGACCGATTGAGAGTTGCTGGTGGCGTCCAGCCATTTGAAGACCAATTTCTTTGGCATCCCATCCACGGACTCGGAGATGCGCGCCTTGCAGCACCCTTTGCCATAGCAGTACTTGTCGCCGTCGTTTTCCCCGTGGATGCCATTTGTTGACGACCCCTCGCCCCAAACTCCACCGGTGTCGTTGTAGTAGCAGAAGGTGGCGCAGCCACTGATAATGGCTGGGTTGTTGTGCCCCACCAACGTCGCATGCGCGTTGCACCCCGTGACGACAAGCTCATTGCTCGTGGAGAGCGAGTAGGGCACCTCTTCATCATCGGGAAAGTAAGGGAATTCCTCCCCTAAATCAGTGGCCATTGAAGTTGGTAACGTTGTGTAGGGCCTAAGGTTGTCGATCCGGATAACACGCATCGTGGAGTTGTGAAGGGAGATACCGACGACCTGGAACCGACCATTACTGAGTAACAAACGCGGGGGTTGATAGCCCGTGTAACACTCGAGGCGGAACCCTGGCCAGTAGCACTTGGACGAGCCAATACCAAACGGGTATGGCACCTCCACATCCCCGCAGGATGTCCTGCAAATATCTGTTTCAGACATAAATGTTAGTGAAACAAAGTGGCAACATCATGCAAAGGAAATCCTAAAAAAGAATTTTTAGATCAAGTAAAAAAACATATACAGTTGGTCTATACCTGGGCATACCTCGGGTCGGGCCGGGCCAAAAAAAACTCGGTGCTAAAAACCCAGGCCCGACCATCGGGCAGAGTAAATCAGGCCTGAGCCCGAAAAAGCCTGACACGGCCCGACCCGGCTACGGCTAAAATCTTGTTTTGTGCAAGCCCGAGCTCGACCCGATCTGCCCGTTGGGCTTGATTTCCAGGCCCGAGTCTGGCCCGAAGGCACGCTCGGGCTCAGCCCGGCCCGGGATTTTCGGTCCGGGTCAGGTCGGGTCGTCCGGGCCGAGCTGCCCATGGCAAGGTATAAGTTGGTCATATAATCGTGATTATATAGATATTTTCTGTACTAGGATATTTACCCTTGGCATAAGAGGTTTAACCTTAATAACGGAGTTTTTTTAATAAGGGTGTTATTGATGAAATTACCAATGGAGTGGGTCTTGCTAGCTTTTGTATAGGAGAAGAAATAAATATGTAGGGGGAGGTCGAATCTCGTCTTATTTGTTAGTATTATATTTATGTTATGTATATGTGGGTTTTTTTTTTCTTTATTAAGTTATGGAATTTACAGCAAGTCTCTTGCAAAAAATAACTATCCTATCCCTTTCTACAGTCTCTCTATATGTTACATAAGGTAAGTATTGTATGATAGTTCGGTTTTCCGTGATTTTCTACTTTCCATGTGTCTGTCTACTTATATGAGTGTAGTCAAACAGTTTGGAATATTGGGACCATTTTTTCGAGGGCGGAGGGGCAATGGATGGATTACGTTTTTAGACATGTAAATTTAGTACAAACTAGTAAATGCGTACGGGGATTGCACATTGATATTAGGGAGGAAATCAATTGCACATTCATATATTAGGTAAAATACCAACTACGGGTTACTTGTGTGATTAACACAAACATTTATATGTGGGATAATATTAATTGCAATCTAAACATGTTCAACACTTATTATTGGAGTTGTCTAGGTCATTTAATTGACATGATTTGATGACCGAGATTAATTATTAGATCTGCCCATTTTTAATATTTAATATTAGTATAGGCTAGCAAAAGGGTCCGTGTGTTGCAACCAGAAAAATATATCAGACATGGTTCAAGATTTCACAAGTCCAGGTATTGTTTGATACATCAGGCAAACTACGGTTTCTGATTCAAGCATCACCGATTTAGGGCATGTTTATTAGCATTCGAGAACTGGCCCCGCTGGTACGACCTCTAGCACACCCTCACGCAGCTGCCCCAAGGTCGTGCTCGCTTCACTTTGAAGACAAACGTCTATAGCCGGTGTATATAAACGAGAAAGGGTTGTGTAGAAGATATTTACGTGGGAAAACGTACCGCCATGTTATTGTTGTGTGACTACCTATTGACGAAGAATCACAAATGCCTAGATTGAAAAAAAATGGGTGTACCCAGCCCTATATACATTAGTGATTAGTATATATCGTTGAAAATTGCAACTTGTTCACCTATCTTCCGAATTTTTAAGAACTTTTACACCGGCGAAAATCGTAACTAGTTTTGTGGTAAGCTATGATAGAAAATTCTAATCTTATAGTATTCGTCAAAATTGAGAGTATGTATGTGTAGTATGTAGTATATCAAATATTTGGGGTATTATATATCTCTTTTTTAGGTAATATATACTATTTTTAGTATACTATTTTATATGTCCAAAGATGAAGGTACTTTCAAAATAAACAATAAAAAGGACTCACATGCAAAAAAAAATTGTATAACTTGCTTTCAAATATCTTAGATATAGTATATGAACATACTTAGAATGATAAAGGGAAAACTTAGTTTTTCCAACTTTAGCTTTTGCCGACTTTACTTTTGCCACTCTAGAATTTAACATCTCACTTTTCCCACTCTTAGATTTTTGACAATACATCACAAATGTCATTCCGTGGCAAAAGTAATATATATACTACCTCATGATACTATATGAGACATTAGGATAACTACCACCACGTGGTAGGATATATACACACACATTAAATCAAGACACGCAGTTGCATTGGAAATAGTTCTCTAATTTAAATAATGTAACCCTATTTACATATGAATTTCAAAAACTAAACTACAACATTAGCAATTTGGCTTTTGTATAAATACCATCACAAAACCACAAGTAACCAATTTCAAATAAACAATAAATAGTAGTAATTATTACGTGGATCCATAATACATCTATTTTATAAATATAAATTTTGGAATGAAATAAAAAATATGAAAGAAACATATTTTACGTACATAAGTATTGGAAATATGCCGTAGAGGCAATAATAAAATAGTTATTATGATATTTCTCGTTCATGATAAATGTTTATTGTTCATGCTACTATTGTATTGACCGAAACTTAAATACATGTGTGAATACATAAACTACACCGTGTTCCTAGTATGCCTCTACTAGACTAGCTCGTTGTTCAAAGTTGGTTAAGGTTTCTTAACCATAGACATGAGTTGTCATTTGATAACGGGATCACATCATTAGGAGAATGATGTGATGGACAAGACCCAACCGTAAGTTTAGCATCAGATTGTTTAGTTATTTGCTACAACTTTCATCATGTCAAGTATCTGTTCCTTAGACCACGAGATCATGCAAGTCCCTGACGCCGGAGGAATACTTAGTGTGTATCCAAACGTCACTTCTTAACTGGGTGATTATAAAGGCGCTCTAGAGGTATCTCTGAAGGTGTTTGCTGGGTTAGCATGGATTGTGACTGGGATTCATCGCTCTGTGTGACGGAGAGATATCTCTGGGTCCTCTCGGTAATACAACATCGTAAAGGGCTTGCAAGCAATGTGCCTAATGAGTTAGTCACGGGATCTTGTATTACGGAACGAGTAAAGAGACTTGCCGGTAACGAGATTAAACTAGGTATGGAGATACCAACGATCGAATCAGGCAAGTAACATATTGCCGGACAGAGGAAATTGCATATGGGATTGACTGAATCCTTGACATCCTAGTTCAACCGATAAAGATCTTCGTGGAATATGTAGGAAACAATATGGTCATCCAGGTCCCGCTATTGGTTATTGACCGGAGAGGTGTCTCGGTCATGTCTACATGATTCTCGAACCCGTAGGGTCCGCACGCTTAACGTTCGACGATGCTAGAGTAGTATTGGGATATGTGCATTGGTAACTGAATGTTGTTCGAAGTTCCGGATGAGATCCCGTACATCACGAGGAGCTCTAGAATGGTCCAAGAGGTAAATATTTATATATAGGAAGTCATGTTTTGGTCGCCGAAAAGGTTTCGCGCATTATCGGTATTGTACCGGGAGTGCCGAAAGGGGTCCGGGGGTCCACCTGCCCCGGGGGCCCACATGGGCTGTAAGGGGTGCGCCCGGGCCTACATGGGCCAGGGGCACCAGCCCCAAGAGGCCCATGCACCTAGAACATGGAGAGGGGAAAGAGTCCTAAGGGGGAAAGGCACCCCCTAGGTGCCTTGGGAAGGGAGGAGTCCTCCCTAGGCCGGCGCCCCCTCCCTTGGAGGAGGGGCAAAGGCTGCGCGCTTGCGCCCCCTGCCTCCTATAAATAGTGGGGAGAGGGAGGGGCTGGACACACCAAATCCCACGCACCGGCGGCAGCCCTACCTCACCCAAAACTCCGTTTTCTCCTCAGATTGGTTCCGACAGCGTTTGGCGAAGCCCTGTCGGGATTGCACCACCACCATCTCACCACATCGCCGTGCTGGTTGAGATCCCATCTACTTCTCCTCTCTTGCTTGCTGGATCAATAAGGAGAAGACGTCATCGAGCCGCACGTGTGCTAAACACGGAGGTGCCGTCCGTTCGACGCTAGATCGGATTGGATCGTGATTGGATCACGAAGAGTACGACTACATCAACCGCGTTATATATGCTTCCACTTTTGATCTACAAGGGTATATAGACATACTCCCCTCTCGTTGCTTTGTATCTCCTAGATTAGATCTTGGGTGTTTGGTAGGATTTTTTTTATTTTCATGCAACGTTCCCCAACAACATGTCCATACATGATCTAGGTAATTTAAGAATATATATTATATCAAACATTCTAATTTGTGGATAAAAAGAAACTATTTTGTATGTGTGAAATTTGACTATTCTATTATAGCACATTTTCCCTAAAACATATTTAGATGGTCCAAAATAACTAATTCAAGTAACTATATTGTATATTGAAAAAAAAATCTTTCCTATGTATGGAATTTTACTATTATTTCAGTTAGACAATTTGCAATATCCAACGATGGTAAAAGAAACCCTACTTAATAAGCCTGAAATTTATAAATGTGCCCTTGTCGATGTTCATGGTGATTGGAAATGAGTGAGAAGTAGGGAAAGACATAAATTTGACCCCAGGCCAAAACTATTTCACAAACTAAACTATGTTTGAAAATATTTCACCCTGCTGACCCTTAATGTTCAGCGCCTAACAGCAAGGCACTACATTCTACTGTGCAGCGTGCAGCGCCTAACACATAGGCGCCTAGCTGTAAGGAGTTGCACTATATTGTGCAGCGCCTAGCTGTAAGGAGTTGCACAGTCGAGTGCAGCGCCTTACTGACGGGAGCTGTACAAAAGGGTCAGTGGTGTGAAATATTTTTAAAAACAGTTTAGTTTGTGAAATGCGAGAAAACAAGATACTTATATAAAATCTATATATATATATATATGTATGTATATATATATATATATATATATATATATATATATATATATATATATATATATAAAAAATCTAGCCACACAAATGCGCGATTCACCACGCTAGTTGTCTATTATACTAGAGCCTAACACACGCTTAGCCACTCTATTCTTCACTAGTTGGATTAACTCTTTTTCTCTAGCAGATTATTATGGTCGATTGTCTTGTTTTGGTTTTATCTACATTGGCTTGGGTTTTAATTATGTTTTGGTGGTATTTTTTTCATTCATATATTGTGTTGGATCGGTGTTGAAATGCATGGTATTTGTTCTGAGAGAAGATTGCAGTTGTTTGGTTCGTGACGATGGTGTCCATACACAATTTTGCTTCGGTACAACTCTCTTCTTCTTAATTAATAGATGAGGCAAAACTTTTGCCTCCGTTTCGAAATTTTTTGCTTCGGTGCCAGCCGACGTTGGTTGTGTGAGCCCCTTAGGAGCTCTTATCTGATGCTGAAACGTGGAATTGCTACTATAATGCTCGCGTGTCTGGCCAATGAAGCTCTTGTTCGATCGGCTTGGCTCCCTACTCCGCACATTCGCTTAGTTTTTTCTGCTTATTCCACTGCTAGTTTAGAAAAAAAAGGCTACCATGTTTTTAATTTGAAAAAGTTTGTTAACATGGAATTTTTTAAAGTTGCAAACTAAAAAATCATGACATTTTTTTTAAAATGGCAAAATTTTAAAAAATATTCATGGATTTCAAAGAATGTTTCTAAATGTGAAAAAGTTTCACAAATTTTAAAAGTTCAGAGGCTTTCAAAACCTTGAACATTAAAAATATTGGTGAATTTTTTCAGGAATCCACAAAAAGTTTGCAGATTTTCATAATTAATCATATTTTAATGTTCATGTTTTTATATAAATATTCAATAAGTACAAAGTGAAAAAATAAGAAGATAAAAATAGTAAAAATAAAAAACCTAGTAAAACATATTGAAAAATAAATAAACAAAGTAAAAATAAAACTCAAGCAATACCTTCTCAAAATCGGGAAAACCGACCGGCACATTACGACTAGGTGTGTTATACTCTCAACCAATAGAACATTTTCTTACAGATGGGCCTCATAGCAACCCCCACAGTCCGAGCGCACTAGGAGGCTCCAAATCTAAGGTGTTTAGTATCTTAGGGCTCCTGTGATTCAAAGGATTTTCATAGGAGTTTTGGAAGATCCTAAACCTTAGGATTTGTTTCCTATGCTGGTTGTTTGAGAATTGAATCCTATAGGAATTTTTTCTAAGGATTCTGTGTACTACTTCCCATAGGATTTCTACCATGCACTCAAACCTCTTTGAAATAATCTTTTGTTTTTTCCTATGATGCAATCAAACAGCCCAAAATCCTATAGGATTGGAATGACCATGAAATTCCAATCCTATTTTTTTTCCTATTCCTGTGTTTTTAAAATATTTTGGAAACAAAAGATGACTAGTTGACAGAATAGTTCCATATGAACAAGGAACACATATGAAAAAATTGCTCGCTCTGTCGCACGTTCCGTAGAACCTTAACTTTTTGGGCATTGCCATGATCTCTAAAACACAACTTACATCTCTAATTTTATCCTTAAATAATTATAAATACAAAATAATATTATTGAATACTTCTCAAGACAAAAAATTTCATCTCATATGTATTCAGCTATAGAATCCAAATAATTTAAAGATAGTTTTGGGTTAAGCTATGCCTACAATAAATATGATTTTATAAAATTAATTTCAAAACACTAGTTGTAAAGTACCTATAAAATTAATTCTAACATCAATCAATTTTGGTGTGGGAATTTTCATGTCAATGTTGCAATTAAAATTATCTTATAATGTTTCAGTTTTTTAGGGGGGAAATAGTACGCATGTGAAAGATTGATAGACACAAGTATCCACGAAATGTGACTAAAAGAAAGTCATTTGTGAACTGAGAGAAAAATGATAATAATGTAGAACTCGCAACAACACAAGCTATGTATAATTTGTTCTACAAAGATATAAAAGTTACAGTAAGCACATACCCCCCCCCCCTTCCCCACAAACCTTTTTG